CAATATCACACTTTACTCTTGTTCTCACTTTCTGTAATCCCTTGGGTGCTAGTGGCACTTCTGCCTTGCTTGGGGTGAAATGCTTAAAAAATAAAAATAATAATTTTTTTTATCTTAAAACCCACTTGTATACACCGGGTGTAAAGAGCAAAATTGTCCAATTGTTAGATTAAGCTTTGAACCGTTGTAATTTAGAAATGATTAAAAATATCTTACTGTAATTCTCCGAGGTTTTATAACACTATTGGACTCTACATTGCCTAAGAATATATACTTATTCTCCAAACTTAAAAGAAGAATGGTCATGAAATCGATCATAAACGAAAATTAATTAATCATAACTAAGGATCTGAAGCTCATGCAGGATTGAAATGAAGTTCAAATATATACATATATATTGTTCCAGGATCCTTTTTCAACTTATTCAAGATCATCTTTGCCCTCTCTAACCTTCTAACTTCTGTCCTGGCGTAACAAGGTGTCTCATAGGTTTCGCGTACGATTTCATTTTTAAGTCTTTTTTCCCTGTTCTTTGAACTGTCATAGCTGAAACTCCTCTCTCACATGCCTTTAGCTTTAAGTTGAAACAAGGATCCCTCTTACTGTTGTGACCTCTTGATCCAGTTTTCCTCTCTACTGTTTCCTCTTTTGAAAAAAATTATTCGATGTTCTTTTAATGGTTCTTAAATGTAATTTAAAATATGGAAGCCAGTGAATGAATGTTAGGACCATTACTGAAGGCATGAATTATGTTTTTCCTCTCATCATTGTTCAGTTGAAAGGACAGTGGGATTGACACAAAAAGGATTTAGCCTGTTCTCTTTCTAACTGAATAACTAAAAAGTTTTTTCAGTGATTCTTACGACAAATGGTATCAAGATGGCTAAACGTATTATCTGAAAACCTGGAAAAAAAAAACAATTAGTTTAGTGTTTTTTTTTTTAGATATTAAACATTTTGTGGCATGGACAATCATGCTGTAACAAGATTTGGACAAATACACACACAAACACACACACATGTGTATGTGTGTGTGTGTGTGTGTGTGTGTGTGTGTGTGTGTGTGTGTGTGTGTGTGTGTGTGTGTGTGTTTCTTATTAGTATAAATGTTATTTTAGTGGGTAAAGGGATAGCAACTCAAACACATGTACCCACTAAAATAAAATGTATAGTAATAAGACATATATATATATATATATATATATATATATATATATATATATATATATATATGTGTGTTTCTGTCTGTCTGTCTGTGTGATAACTTTCACTCGAGATCCATCCATCCAACCGATTTTGACCAAACTTGGCAATACATTGTACTATGTAAGAATATATGTTCTTAGCGTAAAACATCGATAATTTTTAAAATTAATAATTGATAAAGTCGATTAAAAATCGATAAATTCAACCTTTTTCCTTTGATTTCGTTTAAACTCGGTATGTAGGTTACTTACATTATGACGAGGTCAACGATACCTCATTTTTATTACTACGCCACTGCGTTTAGCGAAAAACCGCGAAATACAAATTTTAAACTAAAAACACCCTCTATTTTCATGCAATCTAATATAAACTTCACTCAATTCTAGCCAACAATAAGTTAATTGTTGAAGAGTTATCTAATTTGATAATTGAGTCCACCCATGTGAAAACCCGCGTAAATAGCGAAAAATGGCGATTTTTACCGGTTTCTTTCTTATTTTTCGTTGATCTTTCAACCGATTTTCATCAAACTTAACAATTACTTTATAAATGTATCCTCTTTTACATCCCTGGTAGCATACCGACAAATTGAATTTCAAAAACTCCAAAATAATTGTGGTCTGAAGTGGGTCTTCATGTTTCTTGTTTTACCCCTTCATGTCATCGGCTAACTTCGATTGAATAAATACAGACTATTCCTGCTATATCAGTAACTGCATTAATTCAAAATGTTTTTTAATGAAAGTACTTTAAATAATAGAAGAAAATAGACTCTCTTGGATATATATATTTGTCCGTTTTAATCTGCTGTCATTGTTTACGTTAAGCTACAGTTTCAGAGCAGATATGACAGATCGTGAAAAATCGGCAAAGGTGTGGGTTTAAAAGCGATAATCCGAGCTTTGCTAATCCGGAAATTCTCTGTGGCTGAATTGTCATAGTACATCAGGCTTAATGATGCTTCTGTATAGGATGCTGGTTCAATTCCTGACGGAAAACGCATATTTTCTATGAAATTTCTCGGTAAATGTAATTAATACTTTTTAATCAACAGGACATTTACTCAAATAGATGTACCCATAAAAAACGTATAAACAGAAAATATAATCAAATATTTGTTAGATTTAATCAATTTCATAAAGCAGATCATAATTTCGATTTCGATTCCGTGAAAGTATTAAAATATTTTCATAATAAAAATCTCAGGAGGATTTATGAAGCAGGTATAATATCCATCTCACGCACGGTGAATACTAGACCTGGTTTCTTTAATATTTCCCCTTTTTTAGCGAGATTGATGCTCGACAAGCATACACATAAGAATTTTGGAACCTAATAGAATTCTTTTCATTTTCTTTTTCATTTCAAAATAATCACAAACTTTTAGGAATACGTTATGAAAGCGTCGCCCATGTGACGACAGCGTGACCATGTTAGACGGAAGGCTGATCATTTTAAAAATTTTCAGTTATCTGTTCTGAATAAGACTTGTGTTTTTATGTCCATCGTATTTGTCATATTGAACTGAATTGTATTTTGATGAATATTATCTTGAAAAAGGTTTAATAAACCGAAACGTCAGACGTCGACATTTCTTTCATTTAACTACATTTAAGGATTTTTGTTTGTTTTTTCAAAATTTCTTCATTCTGTCGGATTTATATCCATTTACACTTGCTTATATATATATATATATATATAGATATCGATATCCCTGTTTGTATTTGTGTGGAATCGAAACGAGAATACACGTGGAAGATTTATTCTTACTAATTTCAGGCTTAAATGTAACAACACAAAATTATGACTTTTTTTCATTTGCTTAGATGTGGACAAATTTTAGAAAAATTTCAAAACTAACGCGCAGCCTTACGACAGCACAACAATATTTGTAACTCCTGTTTTACAAAGTTTTGAAATTTCTGGCGTTTTGTCCATTATTTTTTCTAAAGTATTAGCGCAACTGTAGCTTAATTTAACTGTGTTTTTACTGAATATCTTATGTAATTCTGAATATTTTGGGAAGTGTTTAGTAAGCAACTTGAAAAATAATTTCCCTGTTTTACATTTTACCTCTAAGTTATTTTTTTTCTTTTCCTCGAATACTTCTTTGCATCTTGTTTAATTCTAGTTTGGTTTTGTGACCTTTGAGTTCTTTTCATATTCTTTCCTTCTATCCTCAAAAATTATTTTACTAGAAGAATTTATAGATAACCTAAACTCTATACTTTTAGGGATCTGCATGATCGGAGGGTGGTTAGATCTAAGAATTTAAAAGAAAAAAAAACAGCAGGGATCCGTTTGTAAGGTGGAAAATTTAATAAAGGCTAAGCCTTACAACAACACAACAATATTTGCAACCTCTGCCAACAGGAAAAGTAGCGATTGTGACATTTCCGGGTTCAAAAACATTTTAAACCAGAAATCCGAAGTCTTAAGTTCTTATTTACATATCAGAAAATTAGTAGTTTACACCCCCACCGATGCATTTACAATACCCTTGATTTTCTTCTCTTCCCTCTTCTTCTTCTTCTTCTTCTTCACATTCTCCTCCTCGCTTTCTATTACACCCAATGTCGTGCGTTTGTTTATTTATTTTTGAAAATAATAATGTAGGTTTCTTTATTTAAAAAAAAATAAATAAAAAAGGGTTAAGAGGTCATTTGATAAAAAAAATAAGGTTGAAACCAGGGTAGCAGATTCAGCTGACCTCCTGATTTTTAAAGTTAAAAGCTCTACAGGTTATTTTTACTTTTGTTTTTTCACACGTGTATTGAGCACTTTTTAATACTACTGTTTCCTGGTCAGATTCAACTATGACCATTAACCTTATATATATATATATATATATATATATATATATATATATATATATATATCCTCACTGGGTGCTCTATATTTTTGGCCTTGTGCCACATCTAAGCTACGCTTAGAAAATCACCGTTATCTTCTTTTTCTTTTATTGTTCGCTCTCCTTAATAATGTTTTTTGCTTCTCATATTCTCTCACTCCTAATAACTTCTTGCATCTTAGCGGCTTTATTGCCTTACTTGGGATTAAATGATTAAAAAAAATAAATAATAGAATATAATTTGGGCTTCATATTGTTAAATAATTCCGCTCTGAAATACTAAACTCTATAGTTACCGGTATTACGAGATACTATAAAGATTTGGGGGGGTGGATTAGTTTGCTTTTCTAAATGAACACATTCAGACGGTTTATCGCAAAGTTGTCCATGTTCGTGCGTGACGTAATTAAACATCCGGGAAATTGAAACATTATTGGCTTTCTAAATCCACATTTGATGAATTCTTAGAAAAAGTGCTTGTCAGGATTTCACGGTGTGCTGATTCGATTGGATCAGGGATTTTAATCAGCATATCGAATGGAAACGTCCACTATTTTTTTCCGTGGGAGGTTTAATTACCTGAGCATAATTAGGGGGTTTGTTGACACACTTCAGGAGAGGATTGATTTGTGTAATCTTATTTAAACACGAGAATATTCTACACATATTACCATATTCATACTGTGTGTTGGGTTTAATAACGCATACGGATGTACGTGATTTCCCTAATACACTTCACTGTTGTGCCATGTTCCTATAGACACGCATTTCTGGATGGATGGCATATCATTTATATGATTTTTTTTTAATTTGTACTACTGAGGGCTTAAAAGAGGAATGTTAATGGATACGTACAGGCAAAAACATACAAGCTTTACGCTATCGATGAAGACAAGTCAATAAGGCTGAGGATTTAAAAATGCACTTATTTTACAAAACATTATTACAATTTTTGATATTTACTTACAAACAATCTCTTTTCCCACGAAAAAAAAGGAAGAAGAAAATAAGAAAAGCAAACAAGAAAGAAAGACTGAAGATAGTGTCTCCTAAAAAGAAAAAAAGAAAGAAAGACACAAGATATAGTCTCCCGAAAGGAAAAAAGAAAGGTACAAGATATATTAAAAAAAAGAGAAAAGAAAAAAAGACAAGCTATAGTCTCATCTAAAAAAGGAAATAAATAAAGAAAATAAGAGCGCGAAGGAAAGAATTTATAACTAAAAAGTAAAAATTATAATAACCCTCATTCACAACCATCTGATGAGATGCGATGATATACATTGAAACATGAATACATTTATGTAGCGTTTTTACATATGTTCAAATGCAATATCATATAATAAAGAATTATCGCTCTACTATTATTATTGATCCCTATTTTTAATCTTATTTGTTCTCACTTCATTTATATACATATATATATATATATACATATTACGATAAACGTGCAATCAATTTACAAATTCATGAATTATTCACACAAAAACAAAAGCAAAGGTTAATGATTGAAGATGCCTGTAGGAACAGACGAAAGCTTGTAGTAAAAATAAGAACTAATACGGCAGAAATTTATGGAAACAAGGATCATTTCATTCATAACGGATTCGGAGGTTTTTGTATATTATTTAAATTGTTTGCGATGATAGATTTCTCGCCAATTAAATCATTAACCTTTGCTTTTGTTTTTGTGTGAATAATTCATGAATTTGTAAATATATACATATATATATATATATATATATATATATATATATATATATATATATATATATATATATATAGTAAACGTAACAAATCCGTTGGTATATATTTTATCGCAGTTGCAATAAGTTTAAAACAAATACCTAAGCCCCCCCTCCCAAGACACCCGCCTCGTGCATTTCGTCTGACTGAAACACTGAAATCGATAACTTCTGTATTAGTTTTTCGACAAGTTGATTTTTAGCTTTCACAGCTAAATTCTATTTCCCGCCCCTCCTAACTGTATAGACACGAACTCAGTCCACACTGGGGTTGATACGACAGACGACCGATATCTTCGTCTGCCGAAATAGACTATTCCCCATATGAGGTAATCTGGGATTTTATTGTTTATTATATATATATATATATATATATAATTTTGGATTTTATTGAAATTACAGATGATTAAGATTTGTTGTTAACTACGAAATTTTGGAGGATCACTTCAGAATATGATCAACAATATTCTCACTCCTTAAAAGGGATATTTAAAAATTGGGAAAATATTTATTAACGAATAAACTTGAGATTAATAAATCTAATTTTTGTTTTTCTGGAGTCGATGTTTCGTTCAATTTCGTTTAGTATTAAGTTTTTCAGTTAACCCTTGAACAGGAGCCGTTCGTTTGTTATACAAAGCTGAAATTCTCACAATTACTCACATTTTTCGCATATTTATTTGAGTATGATTACAACAAATGCTTAGCGATAATGACACATATTAAAAAAAAAAACATGTAGACTAAGTTTGTCTTCGAGCGTCATCGGTAGCAAGCTAGCTCTCTGTTTATTCATGCGACTGACTGCTACAATTTATAGGCATACACAAAATAACGCTCATCCGTGTCACACATATTCTCCCGTGTAGACGCATATTTTGTTTGTCCTATACTAACGCAATTCATTCGGGTGTACTATAAAAAGATACATAAAATATTTTGTTTGAAGTTGATTCGTAAAGAATCTTTGTAATTCATTTTTTTCAATTTAAAATAATAATAATAAAAAAAAATATTTAAAATTGTAGAGCCGTGTTGAAGTTTCGCTTATTTCTTCGCCTTATACACGCATAATCCGCTACAGGTCGACTGAGTTCGTCGAGTTTGGTTGGTAACCAGTCTAAAAGAAGGAAAACTCTGTATTCTCAAACCCAGGTAGATGGAATTCGTTAGCGTAGAAATGTAGTTGTTTAAGGGAAGGAAAAACTCGATAGAAAAACCAGCACTTCCTCAGAGTATAGTATTGGGTGTGGGGTCAATAACTCCACACTATGAAATAATTTGATTAGAGAAACCTCACCAAGAGGCCTTATCTGCTACGACGCAACACGTAGGTAGCAGCAAAACGATCCGTTGACGTTTAAAATAATATGGCGTAAAGATGTGGAATAAAGTAACGATAATATGACTGTAAATTTATACCCCGCGAAGCCATAGACGACCTGCGTAAATCTGTATATATATATATATATATATATATATATATATATATATATATATATATATATATATATAGCTAATCAAACTAAATCCGGAGGCAAGGCCTCTTTTCGGGAGATTGATTGTTTTGAGGAGCATGAAACAACCTCTTAATTGCTGTTGTTCCCACGTCCACCCAGAAATAGTGAAGCCCCAAACAAAAACAAAACAATATAAAATATATTTTAATAGTAAAAAATACATAAACAATACATAACTAACAATACATTTTATCTGGAGGCATAGAATTGCGTTCAAAATATATTTAGTTGAAGCCATAAAATTGTTCATTTCTTTTCTAGTTTTCGGCATTAAATGGCCCATAGATATTGACATGCCACTAACCAAAATCAATACATATATCCTACAATTTCTTAAATCAGACTGTATTCAAAAATATAACTTCAACAAAACTATAACATGAAACACACATATCACCGACTATAATAATTATGTCCACACAAACATGTATATGAACAAAAGCTGAGCATCATCTACCATGTATTCAATTGTGAAAGCAGAATAAAATTGTTATTACTTCAAAGCTCCCTAAAAGATTAAATTTGACATTAAGGAGTTGATATTCCGTTAAACAAATCAGTCAACCAGCTACGCAAAACCTTATTTTGTGGATACCAATGTTTGAGTAGAAGCCCGGTTTTTTGTTCGCTTGTTTTTAAACAGTGTGATTTTATTGCAGTTACAATAAGTTAGTCATTGTAATTTACCCCGGAAGCTGATTTTAGAAAAGGTCGAAAGTACTTGGGTTGACAAAAACTATGGCGCCTTCTTTGATGAATTTTATCGCAACATCAAGAAACTGATTAGACAACTACAAAGGATCAGTATAAAAATAAGTAGACACAATATATCTATATTATTCAATGAAACATGTTTAAATGAAGATATACTGCCTAAACACACACACACATATATATCTACGTGTGTGTGTTCATATGTGTGCTTGTATGTGTGTATGTTTGTAAATAAGTTAAATATATGCAGAGACGTGCAAACAACCATGTTAATAGGGAAACCAAATACATTCCTTAGGGAACTAAATAACAAATACAATATCGCTGAAATAAGTTCTTTGTTCACTGATCAATTAATCGTCTGGCTGCAGTGAATTCGAATTCGCTGATGTTATGCCTGGACCTGTATTCCTTCCTCTTCATTCACTGACGCACAATGCGACATTGATAAGTGTTTTCCTTTTAGCCAATCACTTGACAAAAGATGACGACCATGTTTGGTTAATGGAAGATTTTTTTTTTTTTTTGGAGAATTTTTTTCTGTACTCCATCTATATTGACTCAGAAGAAACCAAAGCATTTTATCATGTTTTATATTGATTATTATTATTATTAATATTATTATTATTATTATTAAACTGAAAAGCAAAATGGCGGCATATAAGAATAGCGGGAAATAATGAAAGAATATGCGGGTAGTGCAACGATTATCGAAGCGAAATGTGGAATTGGAGAGCCGAGTTCAAGTAGGGACCGAGACTTGCGTTTTAGTACGTAGAAATGCCCTTGAGAAAAACATGAAGGCATTTCTTTCCTCTCCGTTATGGGCTAAATAACTGAGTAAACAGGAATCTCACGCCTTGCTAAGAAGACTCTACAAAGGTAGTTCCAAACCCTGGGGAAGGCAATGGGGAAACAAACCTCTATATTTCTCAAGCAGTCGTAGCAATTCACAGATAATAAAGAGAAGGAATTTATAGAGAACCTCAGCGTCTTGGAGAGTATGGCATAAAAATAAAGAGTAACAAGACAAACTTGGTTAAAATTTGAAAAGGTCTCTTCTTCTTCTTCTTCTTCTTCTTCTTCTTCTTCTTCTTCTTCTTCTCTGTCGTCGTCCTCTTCGCCTTTTTTCTTCTTCTGCATCTTCTTCATCATTTTCGTCTCTTTCTTCTTCGTCTTCTTCGTCTTCTTTTTCACTGTACTATGTCCCTTCAAGACATGTGTGATCATGACTCTCCACAATTTCCTATCCTTTGTAGCTCTTAGTGAGATTTATCTTTTCACCATCCTTTCCACTCCCTGTTCTGACATCCATTTACCCAAGCTCAATACGTAGTTTGATCATGACTCTCCACTATTTCCTATCTTTTGTAGCTTTTAGCAATATTTCTCTTATTACTATCCTTTCCACTCCCTGTTCGGACATTCATTTACACAAGGTTATTAAATTGATCATGGCTCTTCACTACTTCCTATCCTTTGTAGCTTTTAGCAGTGATTGTCTTTATGCTATCCTTCCACTCCCTGTTCTGACATCCATTTACTCAAGCTCATTAGGTATGTTGATTATGGCTCTCCACTATTTCCTACCCTTTGTAGCTTTTAGCAATGTTTGTCTTTTTAGTATCCCTTCCATTTCCTACATAAGCTTCTTGATTTCGTTATTCTCTTTTTCCTTCTGTCCCCTTTGCCTTCAACATATGACCTGTAAGTGTCAAATTCACAAATCCCTCTTTTCACACTATGTGTCCTAGACATTTCAACTATTTCTGATTGTAAACATCTTTTTTTTTTGTTTTTGCTTGCTTTAAAACTTCTTCATTGCTCAGATGTTCAGTTCACAACATTCTCATCATCCTTCTGTAAATCCACTTTTCTGTTGCCTCAGGTATCATATTCATCTACGAAGATGCTGTCCAACATTTACTACCATATAGAAAGACTGGTATTGCATAACAGTTCAGCTCTCTTTGTTTCTAATGAAAATTTCCTGTTTCTTAATACTCTGATTAGCTTTTGGAAGGCATCTTTCGCTATTCCAATGCGTCACATTTCCCCTCCTCTGTTAAAACACTACCTTGATATTTAGATTTCTATTCTGCATCTTGTTCTAACACAGACCCGGTTTTCACCCGTATTAAAAAGCTAGATGTAGTTCCCGTGTACACGAGAATTAGGAAGACAAAGATAGGTCTAGATCATACCCGGTTTTACAGGTATCTAATCGGGGTGTATCCTTAT